CTATCCATCAAGACAGAACATGGATGAAAGCTCTTTGGCTTATTGTAGAATATTTTGTTGTTCTTCTGAGTCCCTGATTGAGCAACATCTTTAATAAGAAAACAATGGCCAGGCCTTCCTTTCCTTTCTTCCCTCCCTTCCCTTCCCTTCATTTATTGCTGCTGCTTCTACATTGCTTTTTCATAGGCAGAGGTGAGTTCTGACTCTTATCTATATCTTGAAGAATTAAAAAAAATCCTTGTGTATCTTGGGAGACTTTGAAGGGAGGAACATGCTTGCTAAATGCCATAAACAGCATATCAAGACACTGACTAAGGAAGAGGGGACAGTCAGTAGCATTCACAGATTGGTTTTACGTAAAGACAAAGACCAAATAGGGCTGATCCTCTTGACGGAGCAGTGTTCCCCCACCCCAATGGACCAGCCACTGCTCTGTAAAACTGCTTGCTCCACCTGGTTCAAAAGCCTTTCTCAAGTAAACAGTTCATCCTTGAAAAAAGAAAGTTTTTCCTCTTCTGCTCGTTGGGAAACTAATGGGAGACATGAAGCAAAAGATAAAGATCCAAAATCTGATTGAAAAAACAAACTAAAAAAAATATTGTGTGGTTTTGTTTTGTTTTTTTGCTTTCTATACCCATCTCATGCGTAATGATTTGAACTGGTAAACAAGGCAAGGATGCCAACAAAACCACTAATGAAATCCATGGGAAATATAAAGCAGGCTGAAGGAATCTGTTCAATCCCTCAAGGTTTATTGTGAGACTCTGACAAATAAACTATGTGTTGCCTGGGGCAAGCAGGCTTGTGCAACAGCGATACCACAGCTGGGTTTAGAAGGCTTGGCAGTTTGGCTGGAGCAAGAATCCCAGCCTTTAGGGAGAAGAGAGTCATTTATATTGAAGCTGAAGGAGAAGGAGAGGACATGCATCAATAATAAAGAAAAAATATTTAAGCAATGTAAAAAAAAAATCCTATAGAAAACAATGATGGCAATTCACAAATGTGGGAAAGATTACAAAGCAGAATTTGGCCACACATAAAGAAATTAACACTTACTTTACCTGGGACAAAGTTAATAGACAGGGAGTAAATATGTACATTTATTATATTTATTAAAATAAAATATATTAATAGAAAAGTATGTCCGTTCTCTTCTAAAGCAACAATAAAAGACTCCTCTTGTTCAGCTCATAAATAAGGATTATCAATGGATCCAGCTTATGATAATATATGAATTGGCTATGTTAAATATTGCAACAAAAATAGTTTATTATTTAGTGATTTAAGTAATCACTAAATGTTCCACTTTTCTTTTAGGAGCTCAAGATAGTCCATAAAGTGTGCCCTATTTTTCCTCACTACAACAATTTTGTGAGTTTAGGCTGAGACAAAGTGATTGATCCAAAGTCACCTTCATGGTTGAAGGTGGAATGTAAATGCCATCTTCCTTAGTTCTTATTTTGCTCCTAGCTCATGCCTGTCACTTTACTAACATCATTATACTTTTAATTCCAGCCAATTTCATTGACACAACCAATTTATTTCAAACAATGGAAAATGGGCTGATGATCTGACTGGGAATCTTACTTTTCTTGGCTATCTTGTACATTTGTGTACTTATACTTCACATTTGTGTACATATACACTTCAAATATTAAAGGCTTATTCTGGATTTCATTGAAAGAATTTTTTTGTATCTATTATCTCCTATTCAGAGGAAGGTAATATTTAAAATTATCCTTGGTGGGATGTAAGAAGTGTTCATAGGAGACCTGAATGCTTATCAGGATTTCCTCAAGGAGAAAATGGGTCATCCCACTTCAAATTTTAATATGATTGAAGGATTTCATAGCCAACTAACAGAATTTGTAAAAATAAACATTATAAAAATGGTGCTGTGTTATCTTTTTTAAAGAAGACTTTGTTGGTTGGTTACCTACCTGAATCAGTAAAATATTATAAGGGAGTATGTGTATATAAAATTATGTTGTATGATTTTAGCTTGGCATATTGTATGAACCTGTTGTAATTTATAAGCCACTGTGAGCAGTATACTGCAAATTACCATGCTCCAAACTCAGCAATATATGAGCTTGATAAGTAATTGATTTAAAAAATTGAGACTTTCCATGAATCCAATCATTTCTGGCTTATTAGATGTACTGTATGAGGTTCAGACTAGGCT